AGGGGAAAACCTTCTCTTCGAAATTAATTTGCATATCAAAAACTCACTTAATTGTACGAAAGAATACTTAAAATGCAGGTGCAAATCAGGCTAAAAATAACTCAGTGCGAATGACACTTAACAAAAGGGTCTACCTCATTGAAGCCATGATCTCTAAAATTGTCTTTTAAAATCCCTCTCTGGTCAAAATACCGCAGAGGTATCAATATGAATCTTGAAAAAAAAAAAAAAAAAAAACTTTCGAGCGTTAGCCCTTCGTCAGAGCGAAGGGCTAACGCTCGAAACGTCAGCTTTTGTAATCGTTACGTTGGCCAATTTACCATTTCAACTTTGTTGATATATCCATATTATATTTGCGTTATTGATGCAGTACGGAAACCAACTGAGCTATACAGAGGATTGGACGTTGTTCTTTGGGAGTTTTCGAAGTATGTCCGTGAAGTTGAAGGCTTTATTTTCACATGCTAGTCGTGTTTTCTGACCTCAAAAATCTCTCTTTTTCTAAAGGTCAAACTTTTGCTTTTCATGTATTCTCGCCTATGAAGGCTTTTGAATTTAATGAAAGTTAAGTACAAAATGATACATTTTACACTTCTAATTATCTTCATACCCAAATTTTGTCTCTTGACCGGTTCTTCATCTTCGTACTCATCCTCGTCATAGTCTCTAAAAAACTCGTCGACTTCTTCGTTGTTGTAATTTCCACTGCCATCCTCGCCCTGGCTTGCCGATGTGGAGGTTGTGTTTCTTTCATCTGGTTCTTTTCTGGCGTCGCTACTTTCATCACTTTTATTCCTATCGTCTTTGTTTCCATTTTTCACTTTGTTCTCCGCGTCATCATTTTCTTTATTATAAAAATTTCCTGAGCCAGAGCTTTGGTCAACCTCCTCCTTGAAGTAAGGTGTTCCAACAGTCTTATGAGCATAGGTTGTATCGACAGGTTTGGTTTCCAGTTCTCCTGCGGCATCATCCTTTGGCTCCTCTGTCTCGTCCATGCGTTCGTCTTTCGCGCTGCCCTCGGCCGAGCCTTTGGGCATGACGTCAAGTGTTAATGGAGACATTTGAGTCTCTTCAGATCCAGTGCTCATTGTTTCATTCGGCATTTCGCTCACTTGGTTGGAATCAGTTATACTGTAACTACTGTTGGAAACATTTTGTGCGTTTTCGTAGCTGTCTTCAGCAACATTTGGTACGTATTGGACGCTATTATTTGCAACACTTTGTGTGAATTCGTAGCTATTATTGGCAACGGCTTGTGTGTTTTCGTAACTACTGTTAGGACTTTCCATATTCTCAGTGCTGCTGTTGGTAGGACTGTCCACGTACTCAGAGCTGCTGTTGGTCTGACTGTGCATATATTCATAACTGTCATTAGTCGGACTGCGCGAGGTCGCCTCCAAAGAGCTATCTGGAACAAATGATTGGTCATTTTCCTTGGACATACCAGCCACGGGATTAACACCGTCATTTGTGGTATACTCCGTGATGTAACTACTGTTATGTTTAGCATCGACGTCACCTATGTCTCGTTTTTCAAGAATGTTAGACGCAGAGTGCTCCGACAGATAAAAAGATTTTGATTCAGCGGCTGAGCTCTCTGCCTGCCTCTTGTTCACAAATGAGGGCTGTGAATCCTCCACAGTGTCTGGCTCGTAATATACAGGTCCATAATTGTCTTGGCTGTACCATTCTTGGGCAAAAGAATAGTTCGCTACAAGAAGCAACAGCGTGCTTCGTAGCAATAATGAAATAATCATCTCAGCCCTGCAAAAAAAAAAAAAAAAAAAAAATCAGCACCTTAATATATTTTCAACCTTTCTCTTCAACTCAGAAAAGACAACCTGGACGCAGGAACATTCTGTGTAAAAATTTGACGTCTTTGGATCAAGACAGATAATGGACGAAGCGTCAATGATAACTTTTATACATCACTGTGTCTCTAATGCGACATCCTGAAGCGGAAATATCTTCTCTAAAGTTTTCTGAATCGGTCGATTTGTTGTGCTTGTTGATGTTTTTGTTTGTTTGTTCTAAGAGCTATGTTGGGGTCCATGACTGGCAAACCCGACTATGAAGCAAGCCGAGTCCTATTGTCGCTGCATGCCGCCGCCTATCAAGACAATTACCAAACTTAGCACAGCGACAAAACACGAGGTGGCGAGACATGGCATTTTTCACTCTAGTAGAAAGGTGTCAGAGCTTTGCCGTCAAGGTCAAAATTCAACTCCGAAACATTTCTTCTTGTACTTTGGCAAGTAATCAACATCAATCACTAAACAGAGGTTTCGGATTCTTTAATATTTTATGCACTAGAACATTTTTTACAGTAAGTGTTGATTGCGTCACTTTACAGTACATCGAATTTATCTCATTGCTTGTGGAACATAACACTTCTAGGCGTTCCACCTGTCAAGATTTCGCTTTAAATTATAGACAATAACTTAGTTATAATACCAAGATCTAGACCGACCTGGAGGTCTTTCTTGGGCGACCTTTGGAGTCGACTTAATACCATTTATTTCTTTTTTTAAGTACGATCTCTTCCAGACAGACTCTAAATTTGCAATGACTAATTTGTGTCAACTTTTTATATTAGTCTATATCAAGCAAAACATTATTACAGCATAAAATGCTGATAGGTATTTGTTTGTTTGTGTTAATGTGAACATTTTTTTGACACTGACATACAGGTTCTCAGTTAGAAGCGTAAGGATACAATCTTATAAACGTCAAGGATAAAACAGGTAATTATCAGTCGAATGTTCCACAGAATTATGTCATCCCTGAAAATTAACCGTTATCCTTTCACTACCATCTACGAGAAAAGTCCGAAAACTAATTTTGTGAAATAAAAAACAATAAAAGGCACGACACAGCGTATAAGATTTGGAGAATTTCGCCTAAAGACACATTATAATAAGTAAGATCTTTTGACAGGGAGCCCACGTCACAAAGTGTGGTTTTCAGTGAGGCCCTGCATAAATCTAACGTAAGGATAACAGAAAATATAAATATGGTTATCAAGAAAAGGATAAAAGGGCATAATCAATAGAAGAGACTACATATTTTTAACAAGACGTCTAAAAACTGAAAAAGCGGAAATGTTCCTAATGCCGTCTGGGAGAGCGTTCCAGTCATCTACTACATGACAAACAAACCGATGCTGACCCCATGTACGCTTTTTTCAGCTCCATGATTGACTTTGTGGGTCACAGGATTAATTTCAAAAGTGCAATGAAAAAAGAAAAACCTTCCATGTAGCATGTTGTTACGTAAAGCGATAATTTCAAAACAGATTAAAATCGAAGAATCTAGAAAGTTATGTAACTTTTCAAAATCCGTATCAGTTGAGAGCTTATGGAACACTTCTATGTCAAACACCGATTGAAGCAGATAGGTGAAAATGTACGTATTCAAGTATATTCGTCATATCTTTTGGGTGTCGGAGGCTTTGCAGTAGCTCAGATTATGACTAAAGCCGGTTTTTTCAAGTCTAAACACTGCTCGGCCTGAACAACCACCCACGGGTAAAAAACGAAAACAGACTACAATGGCAAAACCTCAAAACGTCCTTGCCGGTTCGACATCGCCAAGGTCATCTCATTTTCTTCAGTATCCTAACACCTACGCCCCATCATAGGAAAAAAATCTGTACAAGAACTTACAATAAACTTTAAAGACAAAAAATGAACTGATCACCAGGAGACGTTTCTATTTTCCTTTTTCTTTCTTTTTTTTTTTTTGTCTTTGGCTTGACAACGTAAACTTTTCAAAGGAGTTCAAGGTCATGCGTTTTCAAAAAGTTACAACGTTGATTTCGTTGTCATATTGCTGGTAATTTTCCCGTTTTCGTGTCAAGAAAAGAGATTGTATAGCCTAATGGAGATTTATAGAATGTTCAGTCGGTTGATTTTTGATTTGTTCCTGCTCGTAATCTGATTAAAATTCATACTATAAGAGACGAAACAAAAGAAGCGAGGATCTTGAGGATGTTGAACCTCAAGACTGATAGCACATTAGCTGTGATGAATATAACTCGTTTAAATTACAGCCGAGGAGGATGAGTTCTACCTTCCATGATAATCGAGCGGTCTTACAAGCCAAGTTAAATTATTCCAAGCATTTACTTAAATTTGCAAATGAGACATCTTACCGTTGTCGTTCATTAATGTGCCAGTTTGGGAGGCTGTGCTCTATTGTAAAGAGATCCTTGATGTAAAGTTGTATACAAGGTTTTACAAAAGGGCAACTAAAAAATTCATGTCGGTCATGTTATGGTCATGTCACCAGTCTGTAAGCACTGCTCATGCCTTGGATTTCACTGTTATAAAATAGCTTTTTAAAAAAACAATAACTGGTATGTCGAAAAACTTTTCGTATCATCGACTCGGTGATGGTTACGCCTTGATCGTCTTAATCACTTTTATCTGTGCACCGATGGGTGAAAGAGAAAAAATGAGAGATAGCTCGACTGTTTCGAGCTAGCTTGGTTTCAAACAGGCCTCTTCTTCTTCAGATATCGTTGCGTTGTTTATAAATATTATCATTTTAGTTTGGTAATTTATTTTTAGTACCAGCCTAAACGAAATAACACGGAAATTCCTAAGTCACTTTTAATCAGTTCCTTTTGAAAGTGAAAACACTTACGAAACTTGAATATATATGAAGCGTTAATAAATCGGGCTTAATATCACGAAGTTTTTTTTATAATATCACCTTTTACAACCCTTGATTCTGACCTTGACACTGTCAAACCACCAGATTACCTCATTACCATATATTCAAATTGATTTGATTTGTTTCCTTCAGTCGACAAATCGCTTTAGTTTCCAGTGAAGATGGACTTAACTTTTCCGAGGCATCGTATTCACTCGTTCAAAAATCTCTTCAACAAAGGATCAAGATAAAATATTCCAAAGGAATATTGTCTTCTAACAACTAAAAAATAATTTTCAAAACTTGATTTTAGTGAAGAATGCAACTGAAAACTTGGGAAAATAAAACAGTGTAAGATCTAACTCAGACAAATTTCTGCAAATTAGTTCTTAGATGAAACGTTTCCAAAGCGTTTTTCGTTTTAATAATCTTCGTTTTTCCAGTTATGTGTGAAAGAATAGCCTTGAGACCTTTGAACAGCATTCAACACAAATCTCGCACACCCACCACTAGCCACTGTCTTAAAGCCCGTCTCGGTAGCATGTTAGAATTATTTTGACTGGTGGAAAACGGTTAGCTTTTGTTTTACCTCTTTATGCCATATTCAGGATAACGCATTATCAAACAAAGGTGAAATATCAAAATGGATGTGCCATTAAAAGCCATAAAAACGCGTACGACAGTGTGTTTTATACTCTACACGCAAAAATGAGACAACTCAAGTCATTCTACGAAAAGTAGGCGAAGTTCATTTACTCATTACGCAGCCGACCCAATCTCCTCTCGTTTTCTTCCCTTCTCTACTAATATTGCACTTCGTCGTCTGAACAAGCTCGAACTTTATGGAAGTTGTACGTTGCGTTTGACCATCTCTGCTCTTGATAAACCCTGACAAGCCAGTAAAATTGTTAACCACCAAAAAAGAGGTTTAATGAGTGAATTAAAAAAGTATCACTTAAGTTAACGTTAGCATTGCGCTGTTATCAGTGTCCTGTTGTTAAAACTTAATGGTGTAACACGACACGGGTTGTGGATAATGTGATTTTATTTTCGAGTGGGCATTTTTGGGTTTTATTACCCCTTTAAAATGGCACATGGTACTCTTTTTCCAATCATCCAAGAATTTCGAAGAACGTGTTTTCCCATTAAACTTCGGCTGTTCTTCCATATGTCAATAGTCTGCAGAGCAGACGTAATTTTGGCGACCGAATACTCAGAATTTTATCTGCCATCTGTGATTTTCAGAGCAGCAGAAGGGTGGCGAGAGAAGAAATTTGAATCCAAGGGTTAAGCGCCAGTAACGGCTCCCCGCCCCACCGTCCCCTCTAACTCAAACATGGTCCGTCGAATAAACGATCGTCAACTCGCCCCTCGCTGCAGGCTACTATGCCTATGTCACATGACACCATAGAGATGACTGATTTCAATTTTCATCGCGTGACTGACGGTTTTGGGCGCGATCGCATAATCAACAGTACATTTTAATTTCTTTGTTAATTTGACAGTAACATTTAATGTTTGCCACGCTGACATAAATATCGCTTCTTGAGTCAACCCTCTGGCACGTTCAGTTTCAGTTGACACTTGTCAGTGATATCAAACTGTCTGACGTGACATTCAAATTCTCAGTTTTTAGGGTTGTCACTTTCTTTGTAAATCTATTGACAAATTTCCTGAAATTTGGTACATGCTCGATGCCAGTAAGATTTTTACGATTCGTAATACAATGCACACTGATGGTAATAACAGCAATAGTGGCAGCCTTGATATAAGTCACGATACGAAT